AATTAATATTATTATGATGCTCGAGTGTTCGGCTACTTGACAAAACGTCGTCCTCAAGTCAGATGCGCTCCCGCTCAACCCTGTTCCGCCGATGCACATCCAATTCTCGGATTGTCTTGTCCACCACGCCGTCAGTCAGATCGCTCCCGCCGCCGGACCTCGGTCTTTGCGCAACTCTAGCGTCTCCGCCTGTCGCCCGTGGGGTTCTTCCAGGCGGCGTCTGTCCAGCCACAAGTTTCGTATGTCGCGGCATCGCTCACGATCAACACTGTCATCAAGATCCGCCTCCCAGATCCATGTTTTGAAGCTTGTCTGCATTGCGGGCGTGCGCGTTACGTCCCAACCTTCCGTTCTGGGTGAACAGGGTACGCGGCGAGCGTGCAGGTTGCGGAGGACGAGTGTTTAATCTCGCTCGTCCTGGCACAGCCTTCCCCCTCGGGCGGTGCTTCTCCCCGTTGCACGGAAACTGCGCACTGTCTATCCTCGAGGCTTTGAGGCTCGATCGCTACGTACAGTATGTGTTCGCAGTCCTCGGTCCTTCATGCATTGCGATGCACGTCAATGTTCCAATGGCAATGCGGAGGACAATGTTTGCAGGGTCGCCTTCGGACGCAATCTGTCACCCTTCCTCGAATAGCTCCTCGGCACCAGTGATCCGCGCGCGACACAACCCTACCATCGCCGGTCGCTGCTCTCCTAACGATAGGTCGAAGTCGCTCGTGCGGCGTGCATGAACCTGCAAAACGAAAACGACAGCGGGCTCTTCCGACGACGCCTTGTCTCGATATCAGACCGACCAACCTCGACTGCCTCGTGGCATGGGAGAGCGTAGCTCCCGTCGATAGGAGCAATTATGCAGACACACCGTCCCGACCCTGGTGCTCGCTGTGGACCCACACGCATACACACAACTCCTTTCCACCCCATCAGATTCATCTTCGATCGCTTCTATGAGTTGGGAAACAAGGACTCGGATATCGCACATATTCGACTCCACCGCACAGCGTCGTTCGATCAGAAGTGATTGCGTCTTCGCCGTTCGGCTTCGAGCAGCAGCGCTCGCAAGTGGAGGTGGTTCGGCATTCAAATACACCTCTGGGCTCTGGACTCTGGACAAGCAGCGCAACACTGGCCGTGGGTGAGCACTGGTGCAGTTATCCAAGTGTGCACCGCGTCAAGACCAGCTAGTAGGCTGAGCCGCCGCTATGGGCCATCCGCGTTACTTGGGTGCCCACTCGGATCCGACGAATATGAATGCGATCCGGCGGTACAGTATATCTGGATATCTGGTGCGTCGGCGGCGAGCTAGCCAAGTAGATATCCGACATGTCATCCACGCACCGCCTCGATCCCAAGACCGGCACCGCCTCGCCAGCGCGGTACTTCATTAATGTCCTCGAAGTGCCAGCGTTGCAGGGCCGACCCTCATCGAGCACTATCACTACTACCTAGAGTACCGTCAGCCCGTCAACGAGACCGAGATCCCGCTCCAGAACGCATCTTCTCCATCCGCGGTGCCGACGCAGACGACACACGCGAGCCGAGTCTGTGCAAGCTTCCGTGCTTCCCCCTTCAAGTTCGTTTACATCCGCACATGGTCTCCGTCGACGTCCCTCGAGAGCGCAGCTTCCCATCTTCCTGCTCTGTTCGCATGGGTCGAAAAGGTTCCGGCACGGGCACCTCTCTCCATTCTGGGCTCAAAGGACAACATGCTCTGGCATGATAGGGGCTCGCTCAGCAGCTGGGTTCTGGGTTCATCTCGCATGCTACGGCGTCTTGTGCAATCTGCCCTGATGGCTGCTGTCATCGCCATGGAACTCCACACGCCGCTGCGAGCCTCCTGTCAGGCTATACGGCTCGACCATCTCCGTAGCCCGTAGCAGGCTGAGGCTGATGCGGGCTCGCGTCCGCATCCGCGAGCGTGAACCTAAGCCCGGGAGGAGGCCTGCCGCCTGCAGTGAGAGCCCCCCGTTTCATGGACATCGCCGACCCGGCATTCTTCCAAGTCGCCAGCCCAGCACCGCGCTGACGGGCCATCTATCGTGTTGTTGCATTGCCATGGAGCAATGCCGCTCGCCGTCAACGTGAACGTTACGTTCAGCACCCACCGTCCCGAGGTCTGCTTTGCATCTGGAATACCTGCCTTCTTCTCCGGACCGCACATAGGTCTCGGGTCCCGCGGGCTAGTACTGTGGATCGATCTGGTCGAACGTCATCAGATGGCATGTAATTCGCCCACCCTACATCAACCACATTCGAGCCGCATCTCGTGGTGGACATTGTTCCTTGTTGGGCTTGTCTCGATGCTCTCGGCGGACTCGGTGATGGTGCGGAGGGCGTCTCGGGTTCGGGTGCAGTCTCCAGGGAAAGCTGCTGCAGATCCTCTCCCATGCAACAGGCGACGAGAATACCGAATACCGAATACTGAATCCTCCGCGGTCGCGACTCGTGTGGACCACCAATGCAAGTCTTCTGGCATGATGCGAAGCTCGTCAAGACTCAAGCCAGACTTACAGTATCGTTCCTTCCCCGTCCTGTAAGTATGTTCTGTTCAATGACCATGCATCAGTCCAGCCGCATCTCAGATCACCCACTCCCTTCCGTCTGCGATCAGAGATCCGGAGGCTCTCCATGCATTCCACTGTAATAGCCCGGCAGTGGCCATGGCAGAGCCTGATCGCAGCAGCCATCTTCTCCCTTCGCCTCCGGTCCTCCTCCTCCCGCGAGCTTGTTTGGTGGACTTGTGCCGAATGCGTGCATGGTGCAGATCGCCGCTGGCGGTTGCCATGCTGGAGGCTCGCGGCGCTCAACGCTGAACGCTCTCCACACTCCCCCGCTCCCGGTCGGTTCCAGCTCCGCGAGAGGGACAGCGACGTCGACCTCCGTGGTTCCTAGATCAATCCTGGCCCCTGACAATCCGCCTGCGATCGCGCGCGCGAGCTACGTGGGTTCTGAGGCAAGTCGAGCAAGGCGCATGCCAGAAGTTGCCAACGACATCCGCACCCGGCCGGGTGCTGCGGCACTACTCGGGACCGGTTTGGTCGCAGCAGGCTTCGTTGCATGCGCACCCGGGAGGTCGTGTGTCAAAACGCTAATCTTGTTGCCCAAATACTCTGCAGACTCTTGCGTGGAGGACAGGCCTCGAGGCATCATGGACGTGTCAACGAGACGCAGTTCGCAGTTCTGGCCCCTTCACACCGGTTCTTTTCGCTCGGCGGACACTTGTTGGGATCCTGGTGACGTTGCACGAAGATGACGAGACGTGGACATGGATCTCGTGTCCCTGGTCAGTCCCTTCCATGCCCGTTTGGCGAACGCAGCGGATCCATCGTCCCTGTGCGGTGACGCCCGTGCGTCCTGGGACGTGTGCAATGTGGTTTGACAGCTGCCGCACGGATGCTTGACTGATGCACACGCAAACATAGACGATGCGGCAAGCAGCGGGCTTGACGTCTTGCCAATCCAAGCATCGTAGGCAGGTTCCGGCGTGTCCCTGCGTCACAGAGAAGACCGTCGACGTCCGAGGTGCGACACCTCCGAGGATCTCATGGCCTGGCCTTCGAAACCGATCAACATCCCTCCGCAGGCCAGGGCCAAATTCTAACCTTGGGCTTGCTCGGCGGAGGTTCGACACGACTCGCAAGCCAAGGCCCAAGTACCGAGGTCCGTGCGTACCTGACTGTGCCTGGTTTTCATTTTGACTCTGTGCCTGGCTTCTGCGGGACCCTGACTTCGGACACAGTGACAAAAGCGCTCTCGTCGGCGTGCCACACGCCGCCGGTGCCCTCGTGGCTGCATGTACACCCTCCGGTACTTTGCATTCAAGCAAAGCGGGCTGACGTCGATGATGATGCATGCCTTTAGATGGCCCATCCAAGGTCGTCACCTCGGTTCGGCGCGTATCTTGGTGGGCGATCAAGTTCATCTATCATATTCATTGCGGTCATGCTTCCTGACTTTCTCAGAACTTGGTCTTGTCAAGTGGACCGCAAGTAGATCGCACGGAGACGCGAGGTCTGCAATGCTGACAGTACACGGGCGCGTTCGGTGCGCCAGACACCGCCGGCAGACTCGAGTCTCATCTGGGAGAAGCGGGCCTCAAGTCCCTGACAGCTTTCTGTTTCCTCCAGGTCTACGATCGTCGCCCGACCTAATCCCGGAATCCGACTTCTCCGCTCGCGACGTGCGTTCTGCCGTCGATCTAACCATCCCTCTCCCTTGCGGCGGCGGCCTGCTCGTACGCGATCCCGATATCCGTCGGAACGCTCTACACATCACCCAAGAGCCTCACGAACTCCTCCCGCCACGCATCATGGTGCACATTGCACGATCACCACAACCACCTGGCGCACCCAGGCACAACCCGGTCTCGTAGGCAACCTGGCCATGATCGTCAGCGCGAGCTTCGAAGCTCTCTCATGCCACGCGTGACGCGGACTCGCTCCGAGTACATCGGAGGTAGGTCCCCTGGCAGCGGGGAGACTTTGCCCATTCTCGTCGGCGGTCGCTCGACATTCGTGACCACGCTGACCTCTGACCACTGACCCCGCAGCCGGAACTTGGAAGGGCTTGAAACCCGGATGATCGACCGCACGTCCATAATCTCCGCGCGCATCTGGGTACCTTCTCAACGACAAATTCCGACAAGATCAAGGTCGACCCTGCGCATTACTGTATCCCGATCGATCCACACCCTTGAGGCTCTGGCATCTGAACGTCGGCGCCGTAGCGATGATGTATACTTACCGTGGCGGCATGCACGGCGATTGGGCTGTTAGGATGCGTACGTCCGACCCCAGCCAGTCGTGTCGTGCCACGCTTAGTGCAAGTGCTAACGTTGTTTCAAGCCTTGGCGTGATACCATATTCCATTGAGTGGTTTCGAACGGATCCATTGACGCGACTGTCGTTTGAAAATAAGCACGACACCCTCCCATAAGCCTGCCAAAAGGAGGCTAGATTGTGTCTCCACAATTGCAACATGGGTTGTCCGACTAACAGGCCATCGTGGCGCAATGGTAGCGCATCACCTTCCTAATATTAGGAAGTGTAAAACAGGTGGGGGTTGCGGGTTCGATCCCCGTCGGTGGTAGCAGGTCAATCCTTTTTAATCCACCGACATCAACATACCGTTATTGAAGGAGCTTCCAGGAGGTGGATAACGGAGGAGAGAGGGAATGGAAGAGAGAGGAGAGGAGCAGGCGCAGAGGAGAGAGCGCGCGCGCGCGCGAGGGGACTATCACGACCCTGTATCCTGCCAGACTCCGATTCCATCTGTGGCTCGACGCGCGATTGTTCAACTGGCCGTCAGTTGTCAATCTTATGATCAGATGGAAACTGTTAGGGCGAGAAGACTGTCTACCACTGGGATGGACTCAACCTGCCAAGAACTCGCGAGCACACAGGGTCATAAAGAATGGATACAACGTGAGCTGGGTTCAAAGCATGCGGCGTGATATTATACAGGTGGCGGATGTGCGTAGTAGTAGAGTGTACCAACGGGAACTGCTCTAAGCCGGCCGAGAGACGGTGATCACTATTAAGATGGTGGGGTCACGGTTTAGTGACGTACGTATATGTTCTCCATCGCACGCTGGGCGAGCACAATGCCACCTGCCCGACGTGCCTATGTAACTGGTTGGAGCTTATCGCTTATCCTGGACGCTCCCACAAACGAAGGGGTGGGCGCCGCAAGCCATTGCAGCTCGCATGGACGTCGAGCACCCCTCACAGCGAGAGGGTGTCCTTCCAGCGCTCCGCGATCGGCTCACCGCGGAAGACCTCGTGGAGGACCTCCTTGACGTCCTCGACGTAGACGAAGCGGATGCCCGTCTTCACGCTCTCCGGCACGTTCGCCTCAATGTCCTGGCGGTTGCCCGCGGGAGCGATGATGGTCTTGATCCCGGCGCGATGGGCGGCAAGGATCTTCTCCTTCAGACCGCCCACGGGCAGGACCATGCCCACGAGCGAGATCTCTCCCGTCATGGCTGGTGAAGAATGAGCATCAGCAACAGCATGACACGTGCGAAGTATTATATGAACACACCGATGTCGGGGCTGATCTTTGTCTTCGTGAACAGCGAGACGAACGCAGACAAGATCGCGGTACCAGCACTCGGGCCCTCCTTCCCGATGCTGCCCTCCGGCATGTGGACGTGGATGTCCCGGTCGGTGATGAACTGCTCATCTGGCGTCTTCGTGATACCGAGCTCGTACGCGTGGCTCTTCACCCAGGAGAGAGCGATTTGCGCACTCTCCCTGATGACCTCGCCGAGCTTACCCGTGAGCTGGAGATTGCCCTTGCCGGGCGTCGACTGCAACTTCGCGTCAGCACAAGCCGCATCAGCCGCAGGAAGAACGGGCACTCACCAATGCCTCAATCGGCATGACTGCCCCAGAACCATTGCCAAGGTAACCAAGACCGGTGCTCACACCTGCAGGTGGAGGGTGTACGTACAGCCTGTCCTTCTGGTAGATTGGAGGACCGACGTAATCCTTCAAGTTCTCGGGCGTGATTTTGACGTGCACAGACTCCGGGACCTTCATGGGCTTGCGCTCAACCGTGGTCACGACGCGCTCCGAGTCCTCCTTAGCGTCAAAGTGGGGCGTCGAAGTTTCGGGCGCACCAGGGGTCTCCGGAGGCGCGTCTTGCTTCTCCACTGTACGAGTGGTCTCGGAAGACTCCTCGACATCAGCCTTCACGGCATCTGCTGCTGCCGCAGCCTCGGGAGCAGGTGCGGGAGTCGGTTCAGGGAAGACCTCCTCGCCGAGCTCCTGGACGATCTTTAGTGCAGCCTTCCGGTAGATCTGCATATCGGGTCAACAACATGTCAATTTAGAATGAAGGCCGAGCACGTACCTTGTCGATGTGCTTCTTCAGGTTGCGAACACCACTCTCGCGGCAGTAGTATTTGATAAGCACGTCAACCGCAGCAGGGTCGAGCTCCACATCGGCATCCTTGAGCCCAGACGCCTCCTTTGCCTGGGGACCAAGGTACCTGGAGGCGATCTGCGCCTTCTCCTCCGAGACGTAGCCGCTGACCTCAAGTACCTCCATGCGGTCAAGCAGGGGCGCGGGAATAGTATCGAGCATGTTGGCTGGCTTCGGATCAATATCATGTTCGCTCGATCGAATGAATGAACGTAAGCTTACCTGTGCAGACGAAAAGCACACGAGACAGGTCGACGGGAACGTCCATGTAATGGTCGAGGAAAGCTGTGTTCTGTTCGGGGTCGAGCATCTCAAGCAGAGCACTCGCGGGATCTCCGTTGTGTCCGCGACCGATCTTGTCAACCTCGTCGATGAGAACAAGCGGGTTCTCGGTACCGACGCGCTTCAATGCCTGAATGATCTTGCCGGGGAGGGCACTGCAGGTCACATTGTCAGTCATCCAACCGATTGTTGAGGTAGACATGGATGGCAACGGACCCAACGTAAGTACGACGGTGACCCTTGATCTCCGCGACGTCGGTCAAACCTCCGACAGAGAAACGGAAGAACTGTCTGTTCAGCGCGTGAGCGATCGACTTGCCAATCGACGTCTTGCCAACACCAGGAGGTCCGACAAGACAGATGATCTTGCCCTCGACTGTGCCACGTAGCTTGCCGACCGCGAGGAATTCCAGGATGCGGTCCTTGACATCCTTCAAGCCATAGTGGTCCTCATCAAGCACCTTCTGCGCGTGAGAGATAGAGTAGTTCTCCGGAGAATGCTGGCCCCATGGGATCTGGAAGAGATGCATTTAATCATGGAGCGACGTGGCGTGAACGCAACGACAGGCGCACCTGGGTAAGCCATTCCAAGTAGTTACGCGTGACATTAGCCTCGGATGCAGCGGGCTCAAGATGCTGGAGCTTGTTCAGCTCCTCGTCGAACACCTTGCGCACGGCTTCGGGCATCTTTAGTGCGGCAGCACGCTCCTTGAACTTCTCGATAAGCTTGTCCTTCCCATCCGACTCCATGCCGAGCTCCTTCTTGATACCCTTGAGCTGCTCCATGAGGTAGTACTCACGTTGGCGCTTCGCAATCTTGCTGTCGACATCGCGTGCCAGCTTACTCTGGAGCTGTGCGTTGATAAGCTCCTTCTTCAGGACAAGTAAGGCCTTGCGCAAGCGGTCGTTTACAGCCAGACTCTCCAGGACGTCTTGCAGCTCGTTAGGTTCACCAGTCGACACCGCCGCTGCGAAGTCCGCGAGTTTGTCCGGCTCGTCAAAGACGTTGGAAGCAACCTGGTTCATGGAGAAGTTCGCGATCTGGTCTCGAAACAACGGGTTGAGCTGTGCGATGTCCTTGAAGACAGAAACGATCTCCGACATGAACGCGCGAATGTACTGGTCATCCTTGTTGTAGGGCTGCGTCGCAAGGTTCTCGACGTTGACAACCGACACCGCGTAGTTCTCGAGGAACGAAGTCTGCAAGTTCATCGGGGAACCTTCACGTTCAGGGGGAGGTGTCGGTAGTTGGCCTTCCGCCTCTGCAGCAGACGCGTCCGCCTGGGCAGTTTCGACAGGCTGGACCGATGCAGTGGTACCGCCCTTGACAAGGTCCGTGATACGTATGCGGCGATGGGGATAGAGGACAGCAGTCAAGCCCTCCTCCTCTCCTTCCTTGCTGCCTTGGGCCGTGAAGACGCTCGTGATTTGGGCGAAGACTCCGACAGGGTGTACCGAGTTGATGTCCGCGATGATGTCACTGTCCGCATTCTCGTCCTTCAGGAGGAAAGCACCTAGGTAAGGTTGACCTCGGCGCATCATCTCCTTGATTGCAGCAACGACAGCGGGGTTACGAACGACAACAGCCTTGTAGAAACCGGGGAAGAGGGGCCGACGGGCGATAGGAAGAGCGAGGACCTGAGGGTAGGATTCCGGTACAGACTGCTTGGATATCGACGTCTGCGGTAGCGGCGGGGTTTCCGGAGGAGGTGGGGGAGGAGGAGCATCTGAGCTATCAGATCCGTCACCCGAAGACGAGGAGCCTGAGGATGAAGAGGACGGCGGTGTCGATGGTGGTGCAGAAGCCGGAGGCGCAGACTGACCGTCTTCTGGTGCATCAAGCCGTGCGCCTGACTGAGCCGACTGGTCTGTCGGAGACTGCGCGTCGTCCGAGTCCTGGTCGCGTGCGTTGCCCAGCCTGGCATTGACCCAGCGCGGGAGACGTATCGCAGCTGTCGGCGTGTAATCTGCGACAGTCGACGAGTAGAACGTACGCCGTGTCGCTACCGCCCTTCCTGCGGCATAATACGCCAATTTGGACGGCCCCGCCACGCATGATAGCGCGAGCCTCGAAGGACCTGGGTCACGACTACATATCCGTGCGGACGACCCGGCTGCTGCTCGAAGGCTTCCGAAGAAGTTCATGCGCTGCAAAAGCCTATGTCAGGCTACCGAATGCAACGGTGTGGTCGTTGGCGGAGAACAGAACTACGAGAGAGCGGAGGGGGATAAGGGAGAGGACGAGGAGGACGATTGAGCAAATCCAAGTCGGCGCTGAGCAAGACTCAGGGATGTGACGCGTCACCGGGTTATCAGATAAGATGTGCTTGGTCAGCATTGATTAGATGCAGCTGCCATTCGGGGCAATTCCGCCTTTGGTCGACCAGCAGGCAGCCTGCACCTGCTGCAGCTCAGCGTACACCTTAAGCTCAACGCTCTCGGCCGTATTGACATCCTGCATGGCACCCGCGCATCGGTCTCATGGCTACAAAAGTCCCCACGCGAGCAAGGAAGGCCGAGCGAAATAATGAGTCGTTGTTCCCCATCTTCCTCAAGCACCTCGCGAGCGACAATGTGAAGGACTTTACAACGACGGCGGTCAAGCTCGCAAACTGGCTAGGCGTAGACAAAGCGTATTATCAGAATGCACGGCCCGTGGTACGTCCGTTACAGACTGTTGCTACAAACCGAGGGTCTTATAGTGTCCGTACAAGATCATAGAGATGCTAGAGGTCAGTCTTGTTCTCTTATCTCTGCATTCTTCCCCTGATGCCATCTCCTGTTTACCAGACAGCGCACGAGAATGTCCGCCGGAGATACAGTCTTGTCCATCCATCCCATGTGACGCAGGTGAACCCAGACCTTCAGGCATGGCTGCA